TGTGTTTATGTATATGTGTATATGTGCATTGGTAAATTACTATATATCACATGTGTATATTGTGGGGTTTTGTTTATCTTTTATTAATCTTTCATTATTTTTCTCAGCCTCTCTTGTATTAAGCTGCAGTAATGTGCAAGTTTCCAGACTGTGAGATCAATAATGTTTTATCTTATCTTATTTTATCTTAAAAACAGTTTTTAGTCGGTAGATAACTGTGTTTTTGCTTTGAAACTACAAATATGGCCAAACGGGGTGGAGTCGAACGCTCAGCGACCTGGAGGGGGCGGGGTGTGAAATATCTCATTTGTATTTAAAGAGTCCGCACCAAAACAGCTTGCTTTGAGGCGCAACTCAGAACAGGGGTAAAGCAAGAAAAGCAAGGAGTCTGTGGAGCAACAAAAAGGAATTAAGACCAAAGCGTTGCAGTTTTATTTTAAATAGACCATAAGTGAATGATTTAGATGAGAAAAAAGGATTTAAAAGCATGATATGATACCTTTAAATCCTCCTTTTTCACAGTGAAATCATTCAGTTGGGTTCTATATAAAGTGGAACTACTGAGCTTTGGTCTCAAATCCTCCTTATTGTAACTCCACAAGTTCCTCTTTCAACCTTTTTATTTTTTTGAGGGGTGTCTCAAAAAGTTTTTTTAAAGCTGTCTCTTTAAATACAAATGAGGCTCTTCACACCCCACCGCCTCCAGCTTCCAGGCTGGTTCATTCTATCCTGATGCATCTCAGTAATCCAGGTAGAAAAAATCAAAAAGATAAACTAAGTAGGTCCTCTGGATGGGTTCTTCTTTAGTGAAATGTTTTGTCTCTCCTCCAAGAGACTTCTTCAGTCTGATGAGTTTCAGGTGAACTCAGCCTTATAAGCACTGCCTCCACATGGTGAACAAAGAGATTAGTCACATGCAAAAGAGGGCCGTCGCCTAACAATAGGCTTGATTAGCTCTATTGTTCAGGGCCCCAACGATACTCAACACAAATAGGGAAAGAGAGACAAAAACAAGGGTACGTTGAACCCCGCTTACACTCACTACATATACATAACAAAACACCAAATAACCACAGCCGAAGCATCCAAACCAATAAGTCAGGTGATGGGGCACATGACCCTCTATGAACAAATGTCCAAAAAGAATATAAAGATATCTATGAAGCACCTGGAGAGACTAAAATAAAAAAAAATGTCTACACTCTAGAGACTCAGGGACACAACAAAAAGCATTTAATGGCTAAATGTAGATTTTGCACGACATGTCCCCTTTAAGTCTACGTGGAGATAAGGCTCACCTTTTCCAAAAAGAAGTAGGCCTTGTCCAAAGTCACACATATTRTATTTACAAGTTAACAATTTTTGACACATTTGCACTTGTCAACCACTTGCATGCAAATAGCAATTTAGTGGGGTAAAACTAAAATATTTCAAAATGTAAGTTTATTAAAAGTTTAACTGTGAGAAACGTGGATCATCAACTGTTCATCAACAGCTGCAGCCCAAAAAGATACCGTGTTAAGCTCTAKCTTGAAGGGTTTTGTGAAAGTGGTGTTAGAACATGGTGCTTGACAAAGGTCAGCCTTGTTAGTGTCTGATTTATTCATTTTTATTTTATTTTTGTTACACACTGAATTCCCTCATTACTGCCAAACATGACGATTTAGGAACAAATTGTTTGAAGCTAAGCAGTAATAAAAGCCTTTGGTTTATGTGGTGATAAACAAAGACAGACAGTGATGAGGAAAAAATAGAAGGGGATGGTTTGACAGATTGGGCTGGGTTTGTTTTAGAAAGTAGTGGAGTATTTGGGTGGTACAGGTTTTTTGAAACAGCATGTCGCTGTTTGCAGTAGCAGAGCTGATACATAAGTCTGTCTGCTGACCGCTAGCCTGAGGTGTAGCATAAATAAGGGATGATTATGCCAAGCAGTGCACAGCTCTCTACATGCGAAATAACCCGGAGGGGTTTAACAKTGCTGCAAATTCTAGTTTCTGTGTATCTGGTGTGTATGTGTGGGCGACTGGGCTTTAGATATACAAGGCATAAACACATGAAAAAAGGAGCACGAACACTTGGATGCCAAGTCTCTCCTTTCAAAAGACTCTGCCTCATGCATACTGTACACAAATGCATCCACATGTGCACAAACACACAGGAATAATRTCATCTCAAAAGACGAGACAAGAAAACTCAGCATGGTTATTTTCTGCAGTCCATTCATCAGCTGTGAATATCCAGGCCTGCGCAAGCACAGAAACTCTAACTTTCCATCGCTTCTCGCCTCAGACTCGGTCATTATCTCGATGTGCTCTTGTTTGTGTGTGAAACATTTTCATCTGCAATGACTCATTGCTTTTGAGAGTTTACCAGCTGCCCGGTGCTCAAGTGTGTGATCACGGCATAAAGAGTTCGAACGGGAGCAGCGGCTGACTGGCAAGCCACAGCAATGGACTAATTAGGCCTCTAAAACCCAAAAGCCAGCAGGTTTGATCTGTGCCTGGTGCGAGAAGGAAAATGGTCATAATACAGTTTTTTTCCTTCTAATAATAGACACTCTGAGGCCTGCCTCTCTGTATTTTACCATCATTACTGAATTGGTCTGAGGTGTGCGGGGGACTGAACAATGCTTTGGCCTTTTTGTGCAATTAACACTAAGCTGCCCTTGACTGTAGCTCTCTACTGGTTTGTACCTGCTCAGCTAGCCAATAGTGGGTTTATTTGGTTGCCAACAGCAGCCCCCAGGTGTGAATATGTGTAGCTGTGTGAGGCTGAACCATTCCTCTTGAATAACTAAGATCCCTATGATCTGTTTATGCCAATCAGAGGAATCATTAAGTGATTAGGTTGGAATGCTCACTCATGCTGCACTGTTGTGCATCGTTCTTTTGCCCTGAACCAACCAAACTACTGTGTGTGTTCCACTGGCTGATTAATTAACTGGCTGATTAATCAATTTTATCCCACCGTCTAAATCATTTGCATCCGTTTAGAGATTTGATGTAGTGAACACCAACCAGGGCTGAAACCTTGAAACTTGGATAACTTCATTAATGGAATTTGCATTGTTTTGTTTAATCAAGACAAATATGCTAAAATAAAACAAGTTGATGGCAGGGACTGTGAAATAGGGGGAAAAAAGATAAGTAACTGGTGAGGAATGAAGAACCAAATGCAATGTTTGCTGAATAGTTTGGTTGTTTTACAAAGATGACGCAGTTTGTGGTGTGTACCTCTTTATTAAAATTTACAAGATGTTTCATACAAGATTTACTAAAAGTACAGACTTCACTGTATTGGACTGTCAGAACATACTGTTGCACGGTTTAAAAATAATCTCTCAGACAGGTTCCAGTACTCAAAAGCTGAACTTTCAGCTTGCTTTGTGTAGCCCAAAGCATTCCCCAGACGTGCATTCCTGGAACGACTCTTCTTAACTTTTTGTATCAACAATGTCGATAAAGACTTCTCAACTGTCAATTTCCCCTTTTACACCAATACGAACTTATCCGGCACCAGTTCTGAATGCCTAAAAGACCTAAACTTTATGCCTGGTTCACACAGCAAGATTTTAAAGTTGTCAATTGGTTTTCAAATCATTTGAAACCCCACACATGAAAACAAAAAATGTCATGGATATAGCAGGTTTGGTCCTACATTGTGCTGTGTTCAGCCACATGACAAAATACAACACACCAATCTGAGTTCAGAGTAAATAAACATGGCTGATGAAGAAGAAGCATTGGTGTTAATTTGTGGACTATTTTTAATAGAGATAAAACTGAACAAAAAAGCCGTCTCCAACGTCCAMTGGATTTTCTGGATCTCCACGGCAGTTGTTTTGTCTTCTGTATTTACGATTACCCTCCATGTTTCCATTACCTCACTTTCTGATTTGTTACGTTCAACAGTCTGTGTGCTTGTTTGTTCTTGGGGAACACCAAAAACACTGGGGTGTCAGGCCCAGGTGATCCAACATGTGAAATGTCCCCGATTTGAAATCGAAGTGGTCCCGACGTCTTTCTGAGCCGACAAGACCACTCTTAACTCACCACACACGCCAAGAATATCTCCTAAAATTACCTTTAGAGCCATCACTATAATCGGGGCGTCCGTAAGATTGTCAGAAGGGCAAAATTGAGTCAAAAATTGACAGTTCTCTTGCAGTGTGAACCAGGCATTAGTTGTTCATTTTAATCTGTCACCTCTCCGTTGTTCTGACACAAAGTTAGTCCCTGAGAACAATGGGAATTAWGATTTATTTCCACTCATTAAAGTTTCATATCAGTCAGCTGATAAAATACTGAAGTCAAAATGTTTCTTTTAGTTTTTTATTTTTTTTTAATTTTTTTGTGGCTAAAAATTTGTCTGGCATTTTAT